TTCTCCTTCTCTTCTTCTCCCCTCCCTTCTCTTTTTCTCCCGTGTCCCATTGCTCTCTCCTCCTTCGTCTACCACTGGGGCACACACACGTCTTGCTCTAATAGGACAACATCAAAAAGAGAGAGATGGGGGAAGAGAAGTAAAACTTTGGATGAAAAGAGGAGATGTAAATAAAAGGGTGTAAAAGCTTGAAAATTCTGAGGGATTGTATAATTGCATTAAAAACTGCTGTGAAAAGGTCTCCTAAAGGACAAGACAAAAATCCTGCAGAGGTCATAATAAGTCTGTAAAGATATAGCATAGACAACTAACCTAACACAATTCGGGTTTCCTCTCCGCCAATATGCGTTTCCCAACATAGTAATTTTCTGCTTTGTTCTTCGCGGAATTTCTCATAATTTTTTCCATTTACCTAAAATAAGACGATTTCTTCCTCTACACTTGCTAGACCAACCGATCTCAGAGAAAATCATTAAACTAGTCGTTACCTCCAGCGAATACTCATAGGCAAAAGTGCCTAGCGCCTCCACAGTAATGGTGCACTTCATTTTTCCTAGCTGGAATGATTCCTTCCCAACCAATTTGAACATCCAGTCTCGCCGCAAAATCTCCTTAAAGGGATATTAAATTAACATGGATATAAGGTGAAAGTTTTGTAAATGTAAAAATCAAATAGATAAAAAGACTTTAATTTACAAACCTTTCCATCAATTCGTATTACTCGTTTCCCAGTGGTTGTACCATGCTCAAATTCTATTCGATGTACCTTAAACAATAGATGTATCGCAAAATTGTCAAAATAATAGTTCGCATTAAATATTGTATTAGTAAAAAACAATAAGCAAAGTAACAGAAATCTATGACCCTGTAAAATAGTTAATGACACTCCAACCCACCTTATCCTGCAAAGGGACCGTCCATTTCGCTACTATGTCGCCTTCCATCATTTTTATCTGCAAAACAATTTTTTGCTGAGTTGAAGGCTTCCAAAAGCAAAAATCATTCGAAACAGCGTAGAAATACGTGAACAAATGGAGCTACAAGACCTGTGCAGCTTTTTGAAGTAGTTGTTCGCAATTTAAAGCCTTAGAGGTACAAAAGTAATAAAAGTACTCGTATCGTATGTTCACAAAACTC